ATATATATATATATATATATATATATATATATATATATATATATATATAGCTCTGTCCTGAAAGATGCCACAAACTACAAAAAAATCCATCTGTACCAACCTTACACTATAATCGCCTCGGCTACCAGCTGCTTCTGATATTCCTACTTTTGATTCTCCATTCCTTCCAGAAAACAAATTTCATTTTGGAACAGTTAACCCAAAAATTTGTAAAAAACCAAATTTCTTGAATCGCTATAAATAATCGAATGTAATTTATGGAAATTACCCTCAAATCCCGTGTTTCACCACTTATTTCTAATGTCGTTATAATAGTGAATGTTCCGTTTACAAAACCGACATACCTCTCGAGTAAAAATTCCCTTCTGATGGCTTCTTGAATTTATATAGGAAATTACTATTATAAAATTGTCTTCATCCGTTTCAGTCGCTATTTTTGTAACAAAATATATTCCTCACCAATCAAGAAGGGTTTTTTCTTTTTTTCTTTTTTATTTTAATGAAATCCAACTTCATTTTCAAATCCTGAGCGCAGGCCCAACCTGTAATATACCAGAACTACGAAATGAATTGTAAAAAAAGAAAAAACATAACATATTATTTAATGCGCAGGCAGATGTTCTGACTCATAATTTAAGATTTATTTCCACGTCAGGATTGGAGTGCAACCTAGATGTAAACGGTTTATTTCTGCTATTAGCCCTCCTCATCATCCTCACCATACTTGTCAACGTGAACAGAAATGAACAATTGCAACGAATTCCTTTGAATAATTGCCAACATATGTCTAATGAATTAGTTTTGGAATTGTATATCGCTATAAATTGTAAAGAAATATCATTTTTGATATTATTTTACGGTTTATCCAAGCAATCCGGCTTGGAACACAAACACACGAGATCTAACCCAGATAAGCATAAGAGATTCAAAGAAGAACCATTACTTTCTTTCCAGATATTACCAAGTTTTATAAAATGGTTGGGAAAAATTGAATTGAGGCTATTGTTATCATTTGTTGACTACTCTCGATTCATCTCGAATATTTCTATCTATTTCCGTTTATCTTCGTTTATATTTCATTTTCTTATTCCTTTATTTCTGTTTTCTTCGTAATATGCCAATAAAGCATCTCATGTAGCATCTGAGAAAGAACCCAGAGACCCAAACATTGTTGCTTCATTGTGTTTTTCGTGTTGACAAATGAGAGCGGAAGATGCCAAAAAAAAACTGACTAGCATTCTAAAGTCTTTGGTCAGTTTTTCACCGCATAGATTGTCATTTTTTGGCAATTTTTCAAAATAATCACGGAAGTAAACAAAGAGGTGTATTAACGCATATGAATAATATTTGAAAATTTCGATATTCCAACGATAAAATGTCAGTATTGCGTCCGGAAGTCCAACAAACACGGTTGTACGAATTCGGAATGTCGTGTTTTCCTTTCGAATTGAGCTTTTCCCGTAGAGTTATGGTAAGCAATGCAGAATACACGCATCATTTCTCAACAATGACCATTTTATCGTGAATTTACCCGTCAATATTGTGATTTTCAAACATCAAAAAACATCTAATGCTTCAAATACAAAGCTCAACACACAGTCACCAGCATAACCTGCATGGAAATAATTCATATTACTCTGACGGTTTTCCTGCTACAACAGACGAATGGAGGTAATTGAGGGTCTCGACAGGAAGATCGACTATTTCAAAATTCGAAAAGTAAGAATGCGGAGGATAATTGGCAGAATGAGAGTGAGGTGTATGCTCTGGAGGTTGAGGTTCGAATGTGATGTATAACGTTATAATTATGATAAGTAGTTGTTCCAGTGAGAAGCGTGGAAAATGCCGGGGGATGGCGAATCATCGAGGTATCACCTCCGTGGGCCTGTCAAGCCACCCTCGCGTTACGTTGATTCTGGTGATGAAGGTCAAGAAGTTACACGTTTGTCAACTTCGAAGTCGAAGAGGTAGTTGTGTTTGTCTGCATGAATACCTGCTTATCTTTAATTCATCATCCATTGATTATTCGCAAATACCGAACAACTTTTCTGACGTACTCTGTGTCATTGTATCTCGAATTAGTCATTCTAACATGTCATACTTGATTGCTTTTCTTATAATTTCGAAAGTGTCCGTTGCAAGAAAACTTTCTCCAGAAGTATTTGTTTCAGTAAACGTCTTTCACCGTTAAAACGCGGTGGAAAAGTATTGAAGGCAGAGAGTGATACTGATAGTAATGTTTCAAATGGCACTAACAATCCAGTGCTCACAAAGTTATCCGAAGTAAGTTTCGTCATCTGAATTGGTCGAAGGACTCTTATCTCACCATCAGTGCATTTTTTTGCTATTAATAGTTTAAATTTTAACTAATAATTCGTTTATTCTTCTTGTGAAGCAAATGGCAGTTCGTGTAAGTAAAAGCATGCAGCTGTATGGTGCCGGTAGGCTGAATCTGTAAATTTTATTTTCATTCCAAGATTTCTAAAATTTTCAAATTATTCATTATAATAAGCTCGCTATAACATCCTTAGAAGTTATAATTTTATTGCAGAGTCCCAAGAAAACAATTAGTAATGGCGCACAAAAGGAGATCGCACGGGAAAATGCAGCACTGCGCACTGCACGTCCGCAACCGTCCGAAATATCGCCAACAATGAGGGAGAATTTACGGCATTTGAAAAATGTTCTGAAGTTACCTAAGGTTATGTGTGTTTCTTTTTAATCAAAAATTTGTCTAAATCTAATTCAGCAGCAAGTATTTCAAAATAAAACAAATTAAGATATATAAGTTCACAAAGAAGCAGTAGTTCTGAGCGGAAGAAAATAATTGATTTTCTAAGTTTTCAGGCTCGTAGATGGGTTTACTGTGAATTTTTTTATTCCGGCGTTGACCAACAACTTTTCTCAGGGGATAATGAATTTGTGCAGTTGCTTCATGAAATGTTTCCGAATTTGCGTACTCTCAAACTTTGCCGACCAGAATGGAGAGCTATAAGAAAAATGATAGGAAAGCCGAGAAGATGTTCGGAAGCCTTCCTAAATGAGGAGCGTGAATCACTGGAGACGAAAAGGTATCTTGTCAAAAAAATGTAGATTTGTTTGAGTATTCCACTGCTTGAATAAAAGCTTTTACCAAACTTTGCCGATCAGAATGCAAAGTTATAAAAAGAATGATTCTAGTCCTCTGATTATTTAAAAAATTACGTATGTATCAGTGCTACCGACTGTCATATCTAAGGATGGTTGTTAATCTGCTTTGCAACTATCACACTTGTCATCACGCCGCCAATTCCATTTTTGGAGTTTTTTTTTCCCAAATTTTTACTTTCTAATAACTTATAGAGCTAGAATCCGTCAAATTTATGATGGAAGCTTGATGAATATCCCCCCTGGATGCGAACTTCCATTACGCTTGCCTCCTCCTTTAATAATCGGAGCAAAAATCTATGCACGCGTGCGAACTCCCAAAGATGGTATCTATGCCGGCACAATTGATGCCATACTGCCGGCTTCATATCGAGTGGTTTTTGATAAGGAAGAAATGATACCACCAATGATTATCAAGGATTCGGAGGTTATGTCTGCCCAAACGGTCCATATTTTTCATTCTAAATAATTTGAAAATCATTTTTCTCCTTCGGGATATGATACTGTAAATGTAGACATCTTAGTGAAGGATGGGTGTTGTATAAGTCCTTTTCGTCTGTAATGGATGTTTCTTTTTTTGGACTTGTTTAAACTTTTGGTAGAAACAGTAAGTTTCTGAATACTTACTTTATCCCTCACAATGAATAGTTGATTGTGCATACAAACTTAATGTTTTGAAATTTAGAAATATTAAATGTTTGCAAATGTTTGCAGATTGAGCTACTCTCAATTAATTACTTTCTGGAACAGAATCGTTCCGCTATCCCACCTTCACTGATCAGATTTGGTCACGCTGGTGTCCTTCCAAAGTTCGCTGATGTATCGTCCTCCAGTCGTTCTCCCACAGGACTAGATTCTATCCGAAAACCAACCAGAAGTAGGTCGAAAAAACATAATTGCATTAAATTATTTTTTCTTTAATCATCTTTAAACCACAATCTTGATGGAAGCATGAAAATGGCCAGAAGTTATTGAAAAATGGTAGAATATAAATGCCAATGCAGCGATTGCACCAATTATATGTTTATGCACCGTTTTTTTTTTCATCTGTTTCCGATTTTCCACATTTTAGTCCGAGATGAAAAAGTCGGAAATTTCCCTGTGCGAATGCTCGTCATTCTCGTGAAATTGAACAAACTAATTGAAGTGAAGCGAACTTTGGTTAAATCATTAACTGAACTAAATATGGAGGCTGAGAAAATGAATATGATAACGGATTCTTATCCAATCGCCTTCCAGGTCTGCTTTTTCTGTTTATTGGTGCCACTTTTTTGGGTCTTATGAAATAAAAAATTCGTTGAGAAAAAGTGTCTTTGATTTCAAATTTTATTTCGGTCAAAACGTTGGCAAGTTTTTCCTTTCCTTTGTATGAAATCGATACTAACTGGCGTAATTGAGTGGAAATTGATTTTTAGAGGAGATACGCTCAAGTTGTCATTGACATTGAGACAGTAAACAGACAGCTACAGTCGTACCTAAACGCCGTAAATGAATATTGCAATCAGTTATTGCCACAACTGAGTGAAGTTAGTTTCAAAACATATTTTTATATATTCATTTTAAAGGCAATTAATTTTAACTTATCACATCCACAGGAAAATCATCCTTTTATATGGAAATCAATTGGAGCATTCCACTTTGTCGTCTGTTTTTCTTATCATTTTTGCATTAATGCTGAAAACTATGTATCCATATCGAAATTTATCTTATTACAGTCCCCACAAACTTAAATATTTCTTATTCCCTCCATTTAGATTCTCGTTTTTTTAGGTCATATAGTTGGTGCTTCCATTAAGTTGCCATGTGCTTTTTAATAACGTCAAATCTTTTTTCATATTTTAAAACACGAAAGAAAGTAAGTAATCAATATTCATTTCGTTTATTTCGTCAGAAATTATGTCGAAATTTTTGCAGTTTTCATTAACTTCACGACCAGAAGCTCTACGAAAAATGTGTCAGACTCATTCAGTACAAATCGTCAAACACTGCAATAACGGGTTGAATGTGCAAAATAAACATGCATTAGATTTGGTTACTTCATTGACGGCATTGCTATTACAGGTAAACCTTTGAATGAAAATCAAAGTAAAAGTTGGGAATAACCTGATCGAAATTGGATGCCTTTATGTCATTGGCCTAGTCAGTGACCGGATTCCACATGTAGAACTTCTGGCTAAGGAAATTGAATTAGGTCGTACCAATGTATATTTTTTAAACAGATCCGAGCACTGGGACAACAAAGTTGTACACCACTCGACTTGCATACCTTATCGGAATCGTTGAACGAAATTCGGAAACAAATTGACCCATCGAATGTAGCTGCCTTCCAGGATTTCGTGGAAGTACACATGAAACAAATCCACAATATGATGTTAAATATTGGGAATGTGTGCTAATTTTCTTTTTTTTTGATGAGTGGTGCTAAAATTTTATCTGATTTCATTTCGGCCTTGTATTTTCACATTTTGAAGTGAAATGAAATCAACATCCCTTAATAGTCGTATTCCGCGGTTATTTTTCAGCAAATCTTATTAAACTTGAAGAATAACTGTGTAAAAGTGCTTGTGATAGCGCACATTTAGACGTTTATGTTGTAGTAGATTTGTTAAACTTAGTAGCAGTAAACGCTCACTTCCCAATAGACTTTGTGATGATTATGATAGAGTGCGTCGATGATGAACAACGGTAACTTTGCTGTCGGTTGGTCCTCCAAAATGGCTTGTCTTCATATCGTACCAAATGGAAGGGAGATTTAGATTTGGATATCTGCTAAGATTTGGATCACCACTTGCCTAGGCTGGATAAAAAATACAAGCATGAGACGCATGTCTTATCAGAAAAAAAAGCAAACTTTTGGAAATCAAAAAACAAATTTGACAATTTTGCTGAATTATGTGGTGTAAAGACCAAGAAAGTTAGCTCTTCAATGGTAAAATGGCCCAATATTACCAACAAAGAGCAGACAATAAGTAGAATATTTTTGATTCTGAAGAATGAATATATGGTACAAACTCCAGCAACTACAAACGACTTTTTTGCCCCAACGTTTCATAGTTTAAAATTTTAGCAAGGACAATCGCCAATACAAGAAGGAAATGTTTTCTTTGGAAAGACCAATTAGCAAAGGAGTAGAAAGTGAATCTTGAAAAAGGGAAATCTAGTTGTGGTATAGAAAGGTGGGAGGGAAGTGTATTCTTTATCTTATCAAATGCATTGATCTTTTTTAGGTTTCATCTATTGAAGAGTTCCTTTTGAAAAGCATGAAGTGCAGCATCACTTTACTGATTGCTGTATTGATTTTAAATACGTGAAATGAAGTATTTCAAGACTTCAAGACTTTCCTCGTAATCATCATTGGAATTTTGCAAGAATATTGATTATGGAAATAAAAACGTTAAGTGTGAAAGCAAAATCGATCGACCGTTCACGCGGACGATTTCAAATTACATAAAAAATCATTAATAAACACGGTGATTTTCATTTCTGGGTTCCAATTAAATTAATTTAACCAACATAACTCAATGGAATAAAATTTTTAAAAAAAAATAATTGCGAAAGGACTGGAGAATGAAAAATGCTACAAACATTTAGGGATACATCAATTTAATGGTGCACAATACAGTAGGAATGAGAAAAACTGCAAAGTACCGAAGGAATCAGATAACACTGGAATTAAAATAACTGGAATTAATAGTATCCCTACAAAAATGCAGCTATGATGGACCATAACCGTTCAGACATGTTTAGAACACTGATTTTGAAGAAATGATTGGGAGTTAAGTCAGGAAAGGTGGCCGGGAATCGAAATAAGACTAACTTCGAGTTTACGGGATGTAAACTAACTTTGGGCATGACACTATGGATTTCACTGCAGATAAAAAAAGTACTGCGATTAAGAAGATTAATTTGCCGTAAGGGATGAATAAGCGGAATGAAAAATGATGAAAGTTCAGAGAAGAGAACAATGAAGCAATGGGAAAAAATATCTGGAAACAACATATTTCGATTGTTTAAAGTTTGGCAAAGGATTTAAGCGTTTGTTTTCGAAACTTTATCTAGGGAAACATAAAAACAAAGCTTCTAGTCATGAAAATTACTCATTCTAAGTCTCAGCAACCAAAAACATTCATTCTTGTTATTGTTATCGATAACTCTAGCAAATGGTTCTAAACTTCATCTCATCAAGCAAATGGGATATTGAGGTAATTTGGCTTTTAAGTAAAACAGAAATTTAACATTCCCAAACTGTGGTTCCCTTCCAAGATATTTCTTACTCAAGTAGTCAACCAATTCAACCATTATTTTTTTTATGTAATAAAATCTATAAATTTCAGAAAACGAGGTTGAGGAACATTCGTAATGAAAAACAGATGGAATTGAAACTCATTTTATTTTACAGACCATTATATAATTTATAAATTAACAGATCATTTCGAACATCTCTTGTTACAAGTTTAAACCTCAAAATTTTCTCGAGGATGTTTCAAGGACTGAACATTAAATAGTTCGAATCAACAGCCTACCACCTGTGCATGATTTGCTTAATCAGAAATAACATCCATAAAGCGAAAAAGCTTCAAAAATCAAATACATTCTACTCCGTCGTCTGCAGCTTTTCGAGGATAGTCAAAAAATTTGCATATATTCCAGCAATAACTGCGAAAAGTCCCGTAATTATAACACAAATGTTCCATGAGATTTTCAAACATCTTTGATAAGTGTTAAGCGAAACCTGAAAGCATTATTCGTTCAAAGTAAAACAATGGGAAACTGCGGCTATTTGTGATCTCTGTTATTGTTCTTCCGAATTTTGGATTTCATTATTTTGTTTGAAAAAGACATCGAAAAATATAAATTTCGTTATGAAATTCACACTTAAGGAGTTAAAGGAGTGACGGATAAATGAAGTATTCGAGGAGGAATTTCTATTTTCATAACTAAGACATGGTAAAAGATGTCTTAGATACGAGAATGCTTAGGCGAACAAAAAGTGCAAGATAAAAATGAATTTTTGAGAACAGAAACCTTCCAATCATTCCAGAATGTTATCATTTCAAATACTGGCGGGTATATAAGAGCACAAAGTGTGCCGCTTGTTACTCCGACCAAAGGTATCATGATTTCTAGGTGAGGTATACTTATAGACAACAACACTGTAATAGACACCCAAAATATTCTGGAATTAGAAAACTTTATTTATGATTAACAAAAGATATTTTTAGGCTAGTAATTCTTCCTTAATATATTTTTTTTATAACAGTGCAAATTATAGAACATCTTAGTTACAAAAAGTGTAAGATAAAAATGAATTTATACATACAATAATTCTTGAAAAATGAGTCCCGCGAATCAAACCTGAATCCTTTATCGACAACTGTTTTTGAAATATTTGGAAAACGATTTGTAAATTTCCGATGGAAACCATTGAAAAACATATCCAGTATGACATACATAGCAACGGAATACCCGAGCATCGATTGCAACATCAGAAATACATTAATCGTTGAATATAACCTAAAGTAGACATGTTCATTGATTCTTAAATACATCTTCTTCTTTCTTATGACAAGTGAACACCAGAGCTTCTCACACAATTTTTTAATGACAAAGATATCAAAGATACAACTAAGGACAGGTAACATTTTTGGAATTCCGTCCTTCAATTGGTATTTTAACTGGAGCAGTGATTGTTGTAAATTACAAAGTCTGATGTTAGACAAACTACGTTACTGGAAGGCATGATTTCCAAATAACCAAAATTGCTAAAGTTAATTCTACAATCTTACAAGTGTAAAAGGCAAACTAACCCCTCTTTCGGCACATTCATAGTGATAGTTGGCTGTGTATTTGGTCCAAATGCCGTATAACCGTAAAAACCAATTGCAATCATGAATAATGTACAAAGGCACATTGTTGTTGGTAATACTCCAAAATTACTTAGAAAATCTTCCGGTGTTTCAAGTTTGTTTTCCACTGGTAGAATCTTCAATTAAAGAACAAAAAAAGTGTAGGAGTCTCACTTAACTCTACAAATCAAAAATAATTACCATTGTTTGTCCCTCAAAAGCATACATCGTCATTCCAACGAACATGATGACACCAGTAAAGTTAGTTACAGCAGGAAGTTCTTTCCAATGATTTGGCTGCCGTACTGTGAACTGCACAATAACAAAAGCACCCAATAGAAAAACACAGATGAAACCATCGCAAACACACTGAGCAGACGCATTTCCGTGAACATATTCAGCACAAGAATGGGTACTGAAGATGTACCAACAATGAATCGAGTAACAAATATCATTAACAACCTGCATGGATGCATAACATTGAAAGATGTGGTGTCAACCGTTCCGAACTTTTATACTTGAAGTGCCCTATAGATAATCTTTTCCAAACGGATATCTCTACAGAGTACAAAACTGACAGAGATTTTTCAAAAGCTTGTCAGCTCTGAAATGTTATGTAAAATATTCACTTTCCAAGTGAGACATCGCTGGCGGGAACAATCCTAAATTTACTCGGCACATGCTACCTACATCAAACTTCAGTCTTTTGTTTTGCTCTACAATTGACTGATTTTATATTTCGCGTAAATTTTAACAAAACACAAATAGGTGGGTAACCTGAGTTTGAAAAAATATCGAAAACAAACCTACCAAATGAAATAAGAGCCATTACTTTGACACCACCCACAATATAATCCCCCAATAAATGATTCATATTATCTGCTATAAACAATATTGCAACACTGCACATGCCTAACTGATAGAATAGTATAGTGATATTTACTATATACCTATAAAGAACAATAAATAATCAAATACATAGATAGTTTTCAACTCTATAGAGTGAAAACCAAAGATTTCGCTTATTCCTGAAAACATAAGTGATATAACACCAACATTAATGAATGAAATCGAGCAACTTATGACTCAAACTCTGGTAATAACTAGATGCTAGATGAAAATTAGTAACTATCTACTACAATTAACTGCTCTTCAGCATATGATCTAAAACGCCCCTGTATTCTCAGCTGCAACAAATCCAATTATTAGATAGGCAAACTACCTGATAAAAAATATATGGATTAACAAGGATAGTACTCATATTATCAAGCAAATTCACGGTTATTTCCTCTAACCAACATACATTTTATATTTAAATTATCCATCTTAAGACTTTTCAAGTCAGACAAAATTTATCTGGCTTACATAATAATTTTGCTATTATTCCGCAATATCCTTATATCACTAAAATCACAGACTTTCTTTGCAAAATGACCATAATCAAGTGAAATACGTTCTGACTTCTTCGCCAAGTGTTGTGAAGACCTGACAAGAATATGATTTCCATACCAATTAAAGCCCGCAATGACGAAATTTAATGCCAAAGACATCTGAATAATCAATGCATGAAATCTGCATTTATTTTAGAACTTGTGCAAAAAAATTAACACACAAGGCATCCCTATAATTATCAATATATGTTTACATACAAGTTTAGTTGAATCCACTCTGAGCTGTGCACCGAAGGGAAGAGAAACTTACCCATAAACCACCAAGTTTCCAAGCATACGGCAACGAAAAGCAACCAGCATTAAACATACTTTTAGAAAGAGTCATTATTGCCCGATGTGGTCTGTAAATGTATTTCATTTCTAAAATAAAACTCCCCCCAAAAAAAAAGAAAAAAATCAAGTCCGTATTGAAGAAAGCAAAGACAAAAGTTTGAATGGCTTGAATAGAGAAATATTCCACTAGGTCTACTTTTTAGTTTATAAGAAAACTCACGAAATGACGTCGCCTTTACGTATTTCTTGTTGCACCAAATGCCTAACATCGCCAACGCTCATACTATCCTCATTCATTAGACCAGTTCGATATCCGATAGGTATAGGTGGGAAATAATTTCAGTATTACTATAATTTGATTAAAGTTCACAAGAAAAAGAATAAGCCTTCGATTTCCAATAGGAATTGGTAGAACTATTGTAAAGTGAAAAATATTTTCAAAAAAAGTAAGCATCAGTAAAAATGCAGGGAAACACATCAATGCATTAATGCAAAATGCATTAACTGATATGAAACATTGCCAGTCCCAACGATGAAGCATTAAGCTCATGATACTCCTCTGTCTCCATTCCAATCTTCCTGAAAATGACCGAAAACTTTCGCCAACACATATAGAACACATATAGTGTTCTCGCAACATCAACGAAACTTCAGAGTGTATAATGCATCGATACTAACAATTATTGTGAAAATCAGAACATATGAACGACAATGGTGGGCTGCTAAACCGTAAAACAAATAGTCTTACCACATGGTAAAATCATTTATATATTAAAATTCATTTACACAAAAACAACCAAAAGGCAGTAAACTGTGCAAAAAAAAAAGAAAAAAGAAGAAACGACATAAAACAATTTTCAAAGCATAAGATCCGAAAACAAGGAATGTATCGCAACGCAAACGCATAAGTTTAAAAGCAGGAACATGCCATTCATAAGGTGCAATATTTCCCTTATATGCTGCTGAAGTTTCTAATAAAAAATTTCCGAGCAAAAAAGACTGTCTCACGAAAAAAATAAAACCCCATAATTATCAGACCAATTCAACTGAAATAAATTTCAATCAATTTTTCACTGAACATATTTCACTGGAGAAAAATTTAAAGAAAGGAATTTAAATGTAGTTTTGATTGAATAAAATCGACAAATATCAAAAGTAAGCACAAAATATTGAGACATATCCTATTTCTTCACTGGTTTTCGCTTCCTTACGCTTCGTCTCAGCTGAGCACTTTCTCCCATTCCTTCTTCCTCCTGCTGTTCTGTGAAAAAAAAAAAAAAAAAAACTCTTTCAATTGCTTTTATGTGCACTTCTTTTAATGTTAAGTTAGCCTTTAATTCGTATATTTCCAGTTGACCATGACTTCTGTTTCGTGAAGCCTCAAGAAACTCCAATTCCACACTTACCAAAAGTTGGTATTGTGTTAAAAGAAAACGGCTTACCGCTCAAAACTTCACATCTCACTAAGTATTGATGGATACTGCTGACGAAGAATTGCTAAGAAATGGAATTCCTATAAGCTATATAATTTACTCACCGACAACCAACCCTTCTTCAACTTGCAATTGTTCAGTTACATCCATAGCTTCAGTAATTATACATTTCATCTTAAAAAAAACAATATAAATCATCAATATAATCCCAAATATATTTTATTAAAAGAGCCTTCACATCCAAAACAAAACCAAAAAAATTATAATCTGCCTTAGTAGAATACAAATGTGAACAAGAATGAGGGATGAAAAGAGATGACGAAAGAAAAAAGAAGCGATATTTCATACCTCACTGTTTCGATAAATAGCACTTCGTAACTGCTTTTGGCTAGGAATTGGAATTGTTTGCAGAGGAATCTTAATTTCGAACCATTTTGCCCGAAACCCATTCTCTGTGAAGATAACACCCGATTTCCGATGAAACGAAAGAGTAAATGACACGTAAGACTCCGTGCAACCTGAGGCATCCTAAAATATTTCAAAAAATACACTGTGAAACACTATTCGGATATATTAGTCTTGAGCAAACCGGCTTGAAGACTTCGAAAATAATGGAGTAAACAGAGAAATTGCAAAATACATTTTTTGAAAATATTTGGAACTAAAAAACCTAAAAAGTGCGAAAACAAATCCAACCTCATGCAAATAACTTGTGTTGTCGAAAAGGCAGCTCCTGAAAAGTATCGTCTCCTCCATGCCGGCTTTAGAAATTTTCAATAATCCATAAAAACTGCCATTACCATACCATTCGAAATGCATCAGTTGACGACTAACTGAAGACACATTTCTGCATTTTTCTAAATAAAGATATAATTTTATAAAAATGAGCAAATTTATAACAATAGAAAATTAAACATGAACTTCGTTCACCATAAAAATCATCAAAAGTAGACTGCAATCATGATTACCAATAATTTATATTCATTCTGAAATAAACCATGGAGATGTTATAACTTACTTGATGAAATGGAAGAATTTTCAATCCTCGATAGCTTTGCTGAAGTTGGCGATTTGGGCTAAAACAAAATGAATTTCTAATGAAATGTTAAGACGTTATTAGTTAAACCTATGGAGTTCCGATTTTATATTACTGTAATAGTCAGAAACTCAGTGCACTGAATAACAGGATAAACTTCAACATATAGCATTTACAGAAGAATTTATAATGGTTAAAATAATTTTTTGTAGCCTAATACGGCATATTTCTACCACTACGCTACGCTTATGCAAATGCATCCATAACATAGGCCATCATATTACTATGTTAAGTTCTTTCACCACAGGTTATCGATTTTACCAAATTCTAGCTTACAAATTTTAAAATCTAGTTATCCTCATCAAAAAACCAAACATACCATAACATTATCAATTCCTTTCGCACTTTTTTCAAACTTTTGTGATTGCTGTTCATCTGAAGGGAATTTAATGTTATCAACTTCCACTTGGAAGCTACGATTACTCGAATATTTTGGTGAATTCTGTTTCATAATGCCGCTAAAGCCAGTAACATTTTTTCCACACTGTTTCGAGTAGTACATTTCGTAAAGCACTTTGCTTGAAGCTCCATAAATTACATGACGAGAACCATTAACGCCAATGCAAGATACTGCAAATGGCTCATCGGCTGTCGTTAACAACCACTTTTGCTCTGAAAAAGTGTTTAACGACATAAACATTCTTTTCAGATATGTTCAATATTTAGTTCAATCAATTAATTATTTGAACTAAAATTTAAATTATATTCATATAAATAGTTTTAACATTCGTCTTTTGGGAGAACCAAAAAAGCAAAAGGATAAGGAAATAAGCAACTAAAAAAATAGAAAACAATTAAGTCGAGAAGTAGTATTTCCAAATCTATTGGAAAACCCCTTTTCTAAAAATTTTAGTTTCTTAAAAATTTCAATAATTACCATCATATGTGCAGCACTCGGATGCAGTATCATGAGGGAAAAATATTGCAAACTTTTCAAAACCTTCTGGATGACTTCGTTCCAATACTGAATTTGTCTGCTGGAATTCCATAAAGTAAAAACGCATAAATTACCAGTGCAAAAGATGAAGATTGCAATGGATTTTGTCTAAAATTCCACCAAAGAAAAACTGAAAACTAAAAATATGAGTGATTTTGCCAAGTTATGAAACGTGTAAAAATTTTTCTAGTGCGAAATTATTTCGTCCAAATTGAAAATTTTCACGCTCCTAACAATAAATTTTTCAAATTGGACAGTTACACCAGCAAAAGATTCAAAATAATCAGCTGAACTACTGATATTCTCTCTTAAACTACTGCTTGAAACCGAAGTTCCAGGCTATAGTTTAACACGACCGTTTTGATATCTATGATTTAATTTGAAGTTACCGCTACAACTGTTGCAGTGAAGTTTTTCAGAAATATATCTTGTATGGTTTGTAAAACATCAAAACAACTCGTAATACTATCGGCTAAAGTTCTCGAAGACTGTTGCTCACATAACATATTCCAGGCATTGCTCCGCACATCCAGACGATACTTTAGGGGTTTTTGACGACCAAAATACTGAAGGACCTGAAAAGCGAATAAAACAGTAAGAAAACGCTACAGTAAAGTAATAGTGAATTTTAGAAAGAAATGTAAAGAAACGGACTTTGTCAAACGAATAGTTCTGAAAAGTATCGGTCATAAATTCAATTCGTCCCGCTGCATTTCCGTTTCTCGCACAGGTTGCTTGCCTAATGTACTGAAAAATCGATGACATTTAAATACGCTAAAAAAATACTTAAATTTTAACACTTCAAATCCTACAACAACCTTTCAGAAATTTGATTCATTTCAAATACTTGAAGCTACCTTCCAAATATTTGAAATGAAGCAGTTTTTAAACTCACAAAAAGCATCAAAAAAGATAAGCATTTTTCAAGTGACCGATTTTTAAAAATTTTATAAGTGAATTGAATAAAGTGATCAGAAATTAAGCTAAACCAGTCCAGAACCAAAAAATTCTGCTGCTTTACAACGAAGAATCAACGAATTCGAAGAAAGAAATTGCTTCAACTTTTTCGTATCACTGTTAACCTTTCTTACATGCATAGTATGTATATATTAGGATTTTTTTTTAAATCCAGTTAATTTATCCCCTTAACTAAAAAGAGCGAGTCGGACCAACCGTAAGAGAGAGGTGGGTAAAGTTCGAAATGCTTTTTGCAGCTAAATATTTCCAACAAGCAGATCCCATATTTAGATTTCAAAGACAAAACAGGCATGCACAATGAATTTTTTTGAATGAATAACTATTCTCGAACGTTGGAAAAATCTTGCTGAAATCTTGAAGGTAACAAAGGTCTACTTACTTCAATAATCAACTGTAAATCAAATTTCAGTTCTGTAGCGGAACGTTTGTTCTTTGCCGTAAATGGTGGCGTCTGTGATAACCAACTAATGAAATTGACCAAATCCTTTCTAAAATAATAGATTTCATGCTCGAAAATTACTGATTTTCCTTGTTTTTAAGATTCCACCATTTTACTACTTTTAAACGATCATCTGTTTTTTAATATTTTACCATCTCGCAACTTTATTAGGTTATCTTGGAAGGCTAGAACCGTAAATTTTGACAAATGTCCGAAAAAACCTAAAACCACTTTACTCCCTGATCATGACTGAAAATTAGAAAATGAACCTGTTACGTGTAGCCACCAAATGCATTTCGTTAATTTTATTGGTAATATCTTCCGCCAGATTCTGGAAACCTCTAAGTTCTTTCAAAGAAGCTTCTTCATCACTTTCTTCAGCATACTTGCCATAAGGATATACATCAACATCAAAGAGACGTTTCGGAAAAAGTTTTTCACTGAAATTACAGCGACCCAAATTTTGATCCCGAAATCGAAAAGAATAAAATTTCACGTTTATAAATTGCCCATGAACAAACTTTCATGACATTACAACTCAAAAGATATCAATGAAATGAAAAATATTTTTAAATAATAAAACAAAAATCAAAATGTGGAACACGATTACATATAAAGTGGTTTATAAAGATTTTAACTTAATATAATTTTCAATTCTGATTTCGAAATACTTACGTTCTAGAACTATGCAACGCACATCGCACCTCGATAAATAGCTGTTTCATGTTGTGCTGCAATGCTTCCGCACCAGGAAGGAGTTCTCTGCCGATGCTTCCCATTATATCACTGAAATTTCGAGACTCTATCATTTACTCTATGTTCTAAAATGAACCGACTGTAAGTAAGACCTCTGAAGACAAATTTCAATTACTTCATAGCTATCAAAAAACTTCCTCTAGTTCTCATAAAATAATAAGGTTAAAAACGTAACCAGTTTTGAACAGAAGAAAGTTAAGCGAGCATTCCTGCGCGTAGGATCAAGAATTCAAGTAAGAATCGAAAGAAAATTAAGTGGATACTGACCCGAAACCTTTGTTTGCCCAATCAGTCATTTTCTTCCACTCCGTTGGTTTTAGTACGTTACGATAAAAATTCACCAGCTCTGGACTTGCTTGCCCCGTCAAGATCATATTGATAAAACACTCTCCAAGATTATAATTCGAAGCATTTTCTTCACCAAAAAAATTGAATTTTTGATTGAATTCCTAGAAAATGATGCTCCGTAGAAGACTGAAGGCTTAAAAACTTGTTGCGATCAATTCATATGACTTAGAAGATCCGACTTGCATACAATACTGTATGAAAATCACAACAACTTAATCAAAACGTTGTGGCTCCTGCATTCATTTCAGACAACTTGCCGCTAAATACCGTGTCCATACAGCATGCTGTATGGGCACTGTATTTTGGACACTACACATCCATACAGCATGCTGCTAACTGGACTTGTTCGAAATATTAAAGCAAATGAAATACATAACAAAACAAAAACTTGGCCAACACCTTCGATTGATCCTCCCAATCGATAATTGTTCGGGTAAATGCTTCAGAAACAAAGCATACATAGAAAACTAATTTCAGCCATCTGCAACGTAAAAAATCTAGAAGAAACTTCAAAAATTCCAAAGACAATAATTTATACTCCAGAATTTTTCCTAACAATATTATGAATAGGAATACTTCTTCAGATAATATCAAGGTAATTTATGAAGATCAGCACGAATAAATCGCAGTGATAAAAGATAAGCAGGAATAAATTGTAGCAAATAACATTCACCTAGAAATCCAGAAATGAGTCAAAATTGAATAAACCTGCTTGCAATGGTCCATATTAGGCCGTTTTTTAGAAAACCTAAATTGTCGATATCGAAACCAATCACCTGAGTATTTATTCCTGGACTATTTGCTAAAAAAAAAAGCTTTGCACTGAATTGAGAAATGTGCAAAGAAGTGCACTTCGATTCTCATCATAAAATTTCTGGTAAATAGGAATTTGTTCTACCTAGGCTCGAATATTTTACGAAAATTTATAAAACTGTTCGATTCTTTAAGAATTTTTAAAATTGATATTACGTTTTAATTATAATTTGACAATGAGTATTATCGAATCTCATATCCAAGTTATCACATGAGTGAATTTTTCACCTGAGTTGAGCTGACCCATACTCGAATATACCACCATCAACTGATTTCGCTTGGATGAAAAAAACATATCACCCACTGTTATCGAATACGGGTCGCAGTTTCCTAAACAGTGGGGAGATCCCGGAAAAGTAATTTTGGGATTGCTTCACAATTTTTTTACGACCACTCCAAAGCACTATTCATATGAACAAAAAGAAAGCCGATTGGAATTTTATAGTAAATGCACCTAGGAAATGGAGCGGTGGTTCGATCGAAGCAATAGGAAGGACACCCGCCGCCAAAACAATTACAGCATTGTCTAAATTAAGCGCGAACAATAACGTTCCAAGAACACTGAGATTGCTGTTGTCACAGAACGCCTTCATCGCTTTCAGCTGATTCAATTCTTCGGATTTGTCATTCAAACTTTCGCTTTCTGACAAGTCACCAAGCTGGAAATACTTCCTTCAATAGCATTCATAAACATGTTTTCGAAGAAGAATGCTTCCAAAAGCTACTTATAATGTCCAATTCACCCTCATTATAAATCTTTCCCTGGTGCTTGTTCTCAAGAGCTAGATATCACCTTCCCATAATTTATTTCTGTACAAAAGCTTATAAGTCCCGAAAGCTGAAGACTCGGTAATTCGAAGAAGTTGGTTCAAAAATTAAGCTGATGGGATACATTCAAAAATCCAAAACTTGGATTATGATCAAATAAATATATTCTAAATATGATTTATCCAGAATGGCAGACCAAAAACACTTACTGCGCCGGAAAGTGCGTCCTCACTTATTAAGTTCATGTTCAATTTTTGATGGAATCTTTGCCATCTCATCCGCGTCACACGAGTTTTCATTCTAAATTTAAAACAAATCAGTGAAATTTTCAAATGGAAAATTGCTTCACTGCTGAAGATGCCATCAGAGCTAAATATCCTTGAATGGCATTTTTTTTAGTTAGGACAAGCATAGAAACAGCGGACAAAAACTGGGATCAGTTATTCTACCTGACAGTAAATCTAACGATTCCCTTCTCAGCATCCAGCAGATGAATACAACCATCACTAAAAGCTGTCGCAAGGACCTGAAATCAATGCTAATGCCGAGTTAAAAGAAAAAGTAATTTAGATTTCAAACTGAATTCTAAAACGTGGTGTTTACCTTGCCATCAGGACTCCAACACATCGTTTCCAACCGAATTTCACCTTCCGATTTGACTCGATCCAATAAGAGTGGTTTGATATCATAGATATCTCTCTACAAGTAGTGGAAAATCAAAGACATGAAATGTCTTTATTCTAAGTCTAATCAAAAACTGAAATTAAGCAACGAAGCTGTGATCAACAAATCAAAATCAAAAGATACATATTTTCAGCAATTTTAATGAAAATCTCTTACACTTCAGGGATACAAACCAACTTCACCTTCCATCCATGTCTCCAATGCAAACGTCGTACGCATACTTCACCCTTTTGCGAAGCTAAAGTTAACAAATCAATACTTGGGTTCCACAAAGCTTGATGGACCTAAAATAAAACATTTCTTTGACTGTAATGATATCTGAGGAAATTAAAAGCACAAACATTCATGGGATAAAATACAAAATATTATGCCAAGTTACCTAGATTCTAGCTTTACGACACAAATAAAACATTTCTTTGGAATTTAGATTTCGTTATTATAGCAACTGTTAGCTGTTCTGACAATTCTGTCTTTGCCAGCGGTATGACTTATACAAGAACGATAACCTTGAATGGAGAACGGCGACTTAAAACTGTTTTGCCCATCAAATCAGTTGGAATGCAGTGGCTTAACATGCAAACTGAATCCATGAGCTTTCAGACTCTTCTCTGCAACGATAAATACGCTATAAAAACATTAACAAAAATAAAGTAGAAATGCAAGTGGGAAATTTGAAGTTATGTTAACAGCGCAAGTAAAATGCATGAAGCACACAAACGATAGTAATAAGAGATAATGATAAAATAAAAACTGCAATAAAGTTTCAGTGATAGAATAAGATGATCTTAAATTAGCAAGGTATTCATAGTACACACATTTTAACCAAGGAAACTTTGCTGCAATTAACACCAAGGACATTAGCGATGTACTTGGAACCAGTGATACCAGACCTGTATGCCATTTGTCTGCATTGATTTGAAAACCTCAGTCCCACTAACTATTATTGTCTCTGTTGCGTGGGAGCCCTCGTTGGGCCTAATTTTAAAGGAAAAAATTCTTAGCGAGGGCGGAGAGGGATAGGGCAGGGAATAGGAGAGGGAAAGGGGAAAAAGAGGTAAGGACAAAAAAAATGAAAGTAAATGGATGAGCGAATAAATGATTCCTAATGATCTGCAAGGTTTTGAAAGCCAACAAGCCTGTGATTGTATGACAGAGCGGAATGGACAAGAATCATTCCAGTAGTATCACATCACGTGACTGCATGACATGTTCTTTGTCTCATGTTCTAGTGACACCAGGTCTTCTTAATGCCTTTCTATATCCCTTCGCATCAACAAAAAATAATCTAATTTAGCAAACGGCAAAATATGCATAAAGAGATAGGAATAACACACCCGACTGATGAATTAAATAATTTAAATGAGTGGTAATTGAATTCCGCATCCCTCCTTAGGAATCACTCTACCTGTCTTCATCAGCAAAGGAAAAAAGAAATGAACAGCAGAGTGAGATGAAAATCTATTCCGAGAGAATTTATCTACCACAAAGATGAGAAGGAATGATGTAAACCTTAATCATCAAAATGTCATAACGTTTGCTTGCAAACTATAGGGCTCACGTAACATCATTACCATCATATTGACCCATCAAAACGCATAAAACGATTTTTTGGCAAACAACGCTATGACCACCAATGCTCACAAGATGTAGTTTGAATCCGTTGGATCCTTCCGAGTCCAATTTTACAGCCTTAACTTCAACCAATCTCATCATATCAAGTAGAGCATAAATTCAAAAGGAAATCCCATCCTCTATAAAGATGATACCTGTTAAATCTCACACAGCAGACTACGCTGGAGTATATCTCCGCTAAAAATTTCAGGACATCCCTCAGCCTGAATATTTCTTTCACTTTTCTCTACCTAACAATTTTGACCCAGTCAAATGATTGGCAACGTAAGAATAAAAACAAGGAATCACTCGTACTACGTATTACGTAATAATACTCCCTTAACTCTCAGTAACATGAGGTTCAATAACTCTACCACCTTTAAATACTTCTAAAACACCATTATTCACTTTTCTTGTATAATCAAAAGCATTACGGTATAATCAAAACTGGTCTATTTATTTCTAAACTGCAGAAATTCACAAATGGTTGAACACAGTACGCCTCTCAACAAAGTACATCGGTTAAAATTTTGAACTGTTATACGATGCGCAATACATGTTTCGTTTGTGCATCATGGTAAAACTAGATGACTGGGCAAGCGGAGATAATGAAGGCTCAAAGAAAAAATAAATTTTAGAAAATCAGCAAATAAAATTCCAGATTTTTTAGATAAAGCACTAAGACTATGCAGTGAGCACTTGATGCAATTCCGGCCATGCATTTTAAAAATAAGCATTTAGTTCACAACATTACCAATCATGACATGGAAATAACTTAAAAATTTTAAAAGGGATTTTAGTTATTTGATCTTCCACTATTTTATGATGTGCCAAACTTTTCCTTCTGCATTTCATTGATCTTCCAGAAATTGCCTGTCTTCATTAATTCAAACTGTTTCTGCAATCTTAGTCTTCTTTCACGTCTTTTCTTCGATTTTGAAACTTCGATCTCTGGTTCGTCACCTGCACCCATTGTTTGTACATCCTAGAAAACTGGATTAACTCATTCACAAAAATAAATTCATTCAATTCATTCAAAATAAATAGGAGAAACAACTGCATGCAATCTTTACAGTTTTCAGTATAAAAAAGTGATTTCCCACACCCAAGTAAATCTCACCTGCTCACCACTGAAATCATCGTCTTCCTCTTCTTCCCCAGTACCTGTACTACCGATAAATGGACTATTTTCAGCGGAAATGTGTGATGAGGCCTGTGATTGCTGTACTTCTGTACTACCTGTAGTTACTTCCATCCCAAAGTTCATCGACGCTTCGCTAAGTGAATTCAGCGACGACTGGTGCTGCTGCATATGAATAAAAGTTGAGTGTGAACATCAATATTAAATTAAGCAAAAATAAAATTCGTCTGAACACCTAAAATAGCTTATATATATATATATATATATATATATATATATATATATATATATATATATATATATATATATATATATAT